ATATATATTTGAAGGCTCTAAACTCTCTTCGTGCAAGCCATCAGGAGGAAGAATGTGGTGATATGACGGCGCAAGTAGGGTCTATACACCTGTTTAATAGGATGCAAATTCAAACAATACCCAAACAAAGGGGTTATTTTTTGTGGATGTGGTAAGACGAGACACGGGTGTTTCTTACAACTTCATCTCCATCGAAGAAACAAAATGGTTGGGTTTATGGATGACTGAAGGAGGAGGTTCCATTAATGTAGTCAATTCAACAGTAAGACCAATCCATGGAATAACCAAAGAAGTAAAAACTAATATAGGAGCATAGCCAGGTAATTTAGAATTCTTTGTCATTCCGATGGAAAATTTTAAAGTTGTTCTAGGGATAAGCTTCTTAGATCAAGCAAGAGCATTTTCAATGCCCTTCGCCAATAACATATGCATCATGGAAAAAAATCAAGCTTGCTTAGTACAAACAATAATGAATAAAAAACAAGACGTCAAAATCTTATCGATCATCTAATTCAAGAAGGGCATTCCACATGGTGAGTAGAGAAACTAGGTTGTTCTTCAAGACTCTAATGAAGGATCGAAGCTCCAAGAAAGCATACCAACGGAAGCGTTGGTAGTACTTGAAGAATTTAAAGATGTTTAACCAAATGAACTTCCACCAAGAAGGAAGAAAGATCACTAGATTAGGCTGGAGCCATGGACTGAGTTTCCAACCATGAAGTCTTCATGTATAGCACCCCTCCCCAGTTCAACCAAGAAAAAACCAATTTTTTTAAGTCTGTGTGCAAGCAAATAGAGTTGGTTCGAATGTCAGTCTACAAGAAGAACTACAAATTGGGCAGATCATAAAATGAGACATTAAGACACATGAAAAAAGAAAATACTAACAATACTAAGTGGAAGCCCAACTTAAGTGGAGGAGAGTGTCACGCTGCACCATCTTTAAGAAATTGGAAAAAAAATCATGAAATGGATGATTCTAGAAAAGACCCGATGGATGAGAGCAATTCAAGCAACTCTAAAAGACTCCATCGCATTCTAGAGAATGTTAGAAGGAAAAGCTCTAAGAATAACTCAAAAATAACCTAGAAAGATCTAGGTTTATGTATGTATATAAGAGCATGGTGTAGAACCATCTAGAAACTAAACTATTCTACTTAATTCTAGCATACTCTTTTGGACTCAAGGGGACTATAAATAGGAATCCTTCTCATCATTTAAAGACATCTACAAACCATCCAATGTTCCCAAGCATTTATGTGTTGTAATTATTCTTTCTTAGAGAAATATTTTTTTTTCCAATACTTCTCTTTATTCTCTTTCAAGGGTGTTTTGTGCTAACAAGTCCAAGCGTTGAGAGGGCTAGGCTGCTTTAGTGCCCATGAAGAGAAATAAATTCACATAGGTGACTTGAGATAAGTTAGTCCATAACATTTTGCTTTATTACTTTCATCTTTGGACTGTTAAATTTCTTTCAAACAATCTATACAGTAAAAAAACAAACTCATCTCATCCATCCATGCTATCTGATCAACTCATCCACACCACACAATAAGCTTCTACGTGTCCCCCTTCCACCGCCTCCTCCCTCCTATAAAACCCTTCTCCATCTCCCTCTCCTCAACACACAAAAGTAAGCCCAAGGAATTACATAACACTAGTAAGACTAAAATGGATCCATTAGGCAGTCAGGGGATCATTAGGCAGCCAGGCGAGATCCACCGACAATATTGATCACCACACCGATGGCTACGGCGAGCACGACGTCGGAGCCCAGCCACACCATGCAGCCAGAGCGACGCCTGAGGTGTTGAGGCGGTCGGGAAGCTCGAGTTCGTTGAGCTCTTTAGAGGACAATAGGTTGGGTGGAAGGAGGAAGAAAACGAGGGGTGTGAAGGATAAAATTAAGGAAAGTTTCCTGGAGGTCACAAGGATGATCACAACCTGCAACAGCCTTATGGTCATGGAGTGGTTGGCGAGGGACAGACACAGGAGAAGAGGGGGATGATGGAATAGGCTGCTTTAGTGCCCATGAAGAGAGATAAATTCGCACAGGTGACTTGAGATAAGTTAATCAATAACACTTTGCTTTATTACTTTCATCTCTTGGACCGTTAAATTTCTTTCAAACAATTTTGATGTACACAAAGTGTTATTAATATAAATATCAAACTTTTAATATTAGATATAGAAGTAAATAAAAATTGCATTTCTTGTCAACACTCACATGTCGGCAATTCCACATGCAAGCTTACATCAGCAGGGGAACCTTCCACCGCAACAATCACCTTCCTCCAATTCCACATGCGCCGCCCTTTCACAAGTCCTTTCTTTATCTTGTTGTCAGCCAAAAACAATTTATACAGTTAAAAAACAAACTCATCTCATCCATCCATGCTATCTGATCTCCTCATCCACACCACACAATAAGCTTCTACGTGTCCCCCTTCCACCGCCTCCTCCCTCCTTTAAAACATTTCTCCATCTCGCTCTCCTCAACACACAAAATTAAGCCCAAGGAATTACATAACACTAGTAAGACTAAAATGGATCCATTAGGCAGTCAGGGGAGATCCACCGACTATATTTATCACAACACCGATGGCTCGACGTCGGAGCCCAGCCACACCATGCAGCCAGAGCGACGCCTGAGGTGTTGAGGCGGTCGGGAAGCTCGAGTTCGTTGAGCTCTTTAGAGGACAATAGGTTGGGTGGAAGGAGGAAGAAAACGAGGGGTGTGAAGGATAAAATTAAGGAAAAGTTGCCTGGTGGTCACAAGGATGATCACAACCTGCAGCAGCCTTATGGTCATGGAGTGGTTGGCGAGGGACAGACGCAGGAGAAGAAGGGGGTGATGGAGAAGATTAAGGAGAAGCTTCCCGGGAGTCACAGCCACTGATCGAGATTAGTTATGCATGTTAGTCAAGAACACTTGTGTGTAGACTTGGTGAAGTTTGTGGTGTGTTAACTAATGCGTGCTAGTATTATAAGTGGTATGTGAGTGTGCGTGTGATTATAGTTTGCTGTCTATGTGATTGTTGTTGTCTATGCTTTATGATGATATAATAGGTTGTAATATTTTGGTATGTTAAATAGTAAGATATATGTTTTAAAATATTTTGATTCAGGTTGTTTGGTTTTGTATTGAGGTGTATGCTGAGTTATAGTTTTTTCAGGTCTGAAAATATTTATATATTGAAGGAAAAATTCACATGCATAGCACCTTAAACTTTGTTATTTATAAAACTAGCACCTTTTTCATCAGTTTAAAACATCTCTGCTCAAATGTGAAGGTAATTTCAATGGTTTTTGCCTGCCTAAAAAAACTATAATACAAATGATCAAAATCTGATAAAGTTATGCCAATCGTTTAAAAGAAATGATGAATTATGCTTTTGTTGAGAAATTAGGGCGAAGAAAAACAAGAACGACACAAATCCAGAAGAACACAGAGATAAAAGAACATAGAGATGCCTACGTCCTCGGGAGCAGAGCGGTGAATTCCTTTCAATATGCAAAAAAGGGTTACAGAATTCAAAGAGTACTCCTGGGGTTACTAACATGCCTATTTATAACCCTAGGAGTAAACCCTGAGTACAATATGTAATTACAACATTGCTCTTGTACTGTACTGCGGGGCGTTGCCCCCTCACCCCCAACCCACATAACGTAACTTCCTAATCAACCCACATAACGCAACTTCCCAATTTGGACAGATTCTTTTGCTCCGCTCCGCTTCGTTCTAGCGTCTGTCCCTATGAGTCATACCATAACAAATATTCATCTTGGTGAATATCCAGCTCCTTAAACAAGAAAGATATCTGGGAGTTACACCTGCACCAATGTGGGTTGGGCCACCATGCTTCTCTAGCAACTGCAAACATTCAAAAAGTCCAAGCAATGCATGAAGTTGTTGATAGTAACTGGCTTGGTCAACATATCAGCTATATTTTTATTAGTATGAATCTTTTGCAATAGTATCTCACCAGAAGCAATCAATTATATGATCTTGTGATACCTGACATCAATGTGCTTAGCTCTTGCATGGTACACCTGGTTTTTAGCCAGATAAATAGCACTCTGACTGTCATAATGTAACTGAACTCCACATTACTCAATACTCAGTTCCTTTACTAGCCCAGCAAGTCATAAGGCTTCTTTAGCAGCTTCAGCTACTATCTTGTACTCAGCTTCAGTTGTAGATAATGCCACAATAGACTGAATTATTGATTTCCAACATATAGGCCCTCCACCAAGAGTAAACACATACCTAGTTGTAGACCTTCTGTCATCCAAATCACCTGCATAGTTTGAATCAACGTACCCCAAAAAATAATTCCATGTCCTGCTGACTGCAAAAAATAATTCCATGTCCTGCAGTACCCTTTAGATACTGGAAAATGCACTTGACTGCTTCACAATGTCGCTTTCTAGGTTTAGCCATGTATTTGCAGACTTTACTAACAGCATAAGCCAAATTAGGACAAGTACAAACCATCGCATACATCAAGCAACCAACTACACTGACATATGAAACCTTTGTTATGTCTTCAATTTTTTGTGTCTATCTTAGAACACTATTCTGAAGAAAGCTTAAAATGATTTGCCAAAGGAGTGCTTACATGCTTTGTTTTGCTCATCTCAAACCTGTCCAACACTTTCTCAACATAGTCTCGTTGAGATAAACATAATCATCTCAAGTCTCTGTCTCGATGAATCTCCATTTCAAGAATCTTCTTCATAGGACCCAAGTCTTTCATGTCAAATTCCCGACTCAATAAAACTTTTAAACCACGGACATCATTCTGATTCTTTGCAGCAATCAGTATATCATCAACATACAGTAACAGAAAAATAATTTAACCATCATCAAGACTCTTCACATAAATACAACAATCATACTCACATCTCTTGTAGTCAATCTGAATGATGTAGAAGTCAAACCACTTGTGTCATTATCTTGGAGGCTGTTTCAACGCATACAACGATTTCTTTAACCTGTAAATCAGATGCTCATGTCTAGGTTGAGTGAACTCTTCTAGTTGCTCCATGTAAATCTGCTCTTCCAGATTACAATGCAAGAAAGAAGTTTTAACATTCATCTACTCCAAATGTAAATCCCAAATGACTACTAATGCAATCACTACCCTGATTGAAGTATGTCAGACCACATGAGAAAAAAATTTATCATAATCTATCCTTTTTTGCTGTGAAAATCCCTTTGCTACCAGTTGAGTCTTCAACTTTTTCCCTTATTTTTCTGATACTAGTGGTTTCCTTTTGTATACCCATTTTTGGTTTCATTCTGTATACCCATTTGCACCCAGTAGTCTTCTTTCCCTCAGGAAGTTGAACTAGCTCCTATGTGCGATTTTTCTGCAAAGACTCCATCTCCTCAATAATTGCACTCATCCATTTCTCTTTCTTCTGGCTAGTGATGGCTCCTTGAAAAGAGGTTGGATCATCACTGTTGATGAGAAGTGCACAAGGGACCAAGTCTTCATAACCCAATCTGCTAGGCGGCCTTATATTAGCGCGTCTCTATTTGTCTCTGGCTAGATTATAATTTTGCAGATCATCGGGAATGAAATCACTAGGTTTTGGATTTGAACCTTGAACTCTCTCAATTTTTTTTGGATGTTGTTTTAAATCCATCTGCACTGCATCTGAACTGGAATTGTTCCCTTGCACCTTGTCTTGTTTCTGCTGTAACATAGACTTTTCATCAAAAACTGCATCTCTGTTGATTATCATCTTCTTTGCAATCGTATCCCAAAACTTGTATCCTTTCACACCTTTCTTGTAGCCCAGAAAGACGCACTTCTTGGATTTTACATCAATTTTTGATCTTTCATCTCCAGGTACATGCCCATAAGCAGACAACCAAAAATTTATAAATGATCAAAATTAACTGGATTACATGTCCATACGTCTTTTGCGACTTTGCCACCCAGCGATGCCCGAGATAATCTATTGATGAGATAACATGTCATATTCACAGTCTCTGCCCAGAAATTCTTAGGAAGTCTTGTATTCAGTCTCAAACATCTTGCCCTTTCAGTTAAGGACTTGTTCATCTTTTCTGCCACACCATTCTACTGTGGTGTCTTGCGCACTGAAAAATGCCTCTGAATCTCATTTGTCTCTGAATCTCATACTCCTCACAGAACTTCTGATACTTTGAATCTGTGTACTCTATGTCATTATCAGACCTCAAATATTTGATCTTTCTGTGATTTTAGTTCTCCACCTCAGCTTTCTACAGCTTGAATTTAGAAAAGACTTCAAATTTCTGCTTCAAAAAATACACCCAAATTTTTCTGGAGAAATCATTTTTTCCTAGAGAAATCATCAATAAAGGTAACGAAATAACAAAATACTGAGATCTTATCAATGACGATTCTCTGGTAGGGCCCCATACATCAGAATGCACATAATCAAGAATCTCTTCAGTTTTGTGTTTTCCAGTCATAAAACTGACTCTAACTTGTTTTCCAAAAACACAGAACTTACAAAGATCGAGCTTGCAGCTTTTAACACCATGCAACATGTTTCTTCTATGCAATTCCACCATCTCACGTTCACTGAGATGACCCAGGCGCATATGCCATAACTTTGTATTATCATCATCTATCTCCACAGAATGAACTTCACCTAAAACTGTACTCCCCAACAGTTTGTAGAAATTGCTTGCAGTTAACTTTCCTTTCATCACTGTTAGTGCAATCTTAACAATTCTGATGGTTTCCATATCCTCATCTGCCTAAGGAATAAAACAATTTCTGTTTAAAGTGTCGAAGGAAATCAAATTCTTCTTCAGATCTGGAATATGCTTAACATCACATAATGTTCTAACTATGTCATCATACATCTTAATACTTACTTTTCCAATACCAACAATTTTGCAGCATATATCATCACTTAGATAAATTGAGCCAGAATTAGTTGATATGTATGAAGTAAACCACTCTTTGTTAGGTGTTATGTGATAAGAGCATCCTGAATCAAGAATTTATGCATCTGTGAACTGAGTTGACAAAACTGAGAGCATATCGCTATCACTGCAACCTGAATTGTCACTCTACACCACATTTACAGACTTTGATAAATTGTTACATTTCTCTCCAGTCTGCTTCTTCAGCTTTGGACAATCTCTTTTCATATGGCTTGACTCCTTGCAATTGTAGCATTGTTTTTTTTGCCTTTGAACTTGGATCTGGAATTTCGCCTTTTAGAACCCTCTTTCTCTTTCTTTCTTCCACGATCCTGCTTACTCTTAGCATATAAACTGTCGTCATGAGAGCTTTCCCCTGCATTCTGCTTCCGATGGTTGTGAGTCAATAATGTTGCAGTAATCTCATCAACTTTGATATTTTTTTCTCATATGTAAAAATAATTACTAAATGTTCATAGGAAGAAGACAATGAATACAACAAAATCATCGCTCGATCTTCATCCTCAATATTTACATTAAGTCGTGACATGTCTGTGATTATTTGATTGAAGCTATTAACATGTTGCATCATATCAAAACTTTCTTGTATCTTCAGCCCATACAACTTTTGCTTCAGATACAACTTATTCATCAAAGATTTATCCATAAAATGAGTTTCTAATTTCTTTTATATCTCCCATGGAGATTTTAGATTTATCACATGATATATAACCTCGTCTGCCAGACATAGACGTATAGTAGCTGCAGCTCGTTGTTGTAATTCTTCCCAATCTTCATCCTTCATGGCATCTGGTTTCGTTGCCCGCAATGCCTTCAGAATTCTCTGTTGCGCTAACAGATCTTTTACCCTTGTTTGCCACAACCCAAAGTTTTCGGTTCCATCAAACTTTGCCACCTCGAACTTTGCACCAAAAAATATCATTTGAAATTGATCCTGCAATAAA